CCCGGCGGGGCCCGGGAGGCCCCCCATCGCCCCACCGCAAAGGCTTTCGCGAGAGCTGTGCCGAAGGGGGTACCCGCCAGCCCCGGCTCCCTAGGTAGGAACTGAACCACACGAGCATCCACTTACGAAAACCTTTATTAGTGCTCAGAACCGTCTAAAATCCAGTTGTTGAAACAAGCAGGGAGGGACGTGACCAGTACGAACAGCACACACACCGGTTTGCCCTTAGAAAAGGTTAACAGAAAAACATGAAAGGGACCTCTCTTCCCCACCAGCCAGGGATGGGAGCGGGGCACGGAGCTGGGGGTCCACGCTTCAGCTCCGGTGCAGGACAGTTTTGTTCTTGGGGATCACGCACGCGTGCACGAATGCACGCAGAACAGCAGCACTAGGGAAAGGAGCGACGTCCCCCCGCGTGTCCCCTCGCACCCGGCCCCCGCCGGGACTGCCCCAGGCGGTGCAGAACCGGCCCCTCGGCTCCCGGCGGAGGTCACAGCCCGGCCGTGGCTCTGCCTGGGAGCAGCCTTCAGCAGCACCTCTCACAGCACAAGCACCAGCACAAGTTATTTGAGGGAGGGACAAAGTTATTTGTGGCCTGGGAAAAGAAGGGAGGAAAGTGTGCTGTTTCCCCGTTCAGCTTCAGTTCTCTCCCTCGAGAGGAGAAGAGGTCTGAAAGAAAACTCTGAAAGCTCAGTAAAACATGACACAAACACCCACAGCGTCAATTCAAGAGCACCCAGCCCTGTGCAGCCAGCACTTGGGACAGACGCTCGCCTAAGCCTAAAACGGAGGGTGGGGAGAAAGAGAATATGCTTAAAGTTGCCCCAGCAGGCACCAAGGAGCTGCTTTGCTGCTTACAGACCCGTCCACGCGCCAGCGCAAGAGGTGACCGGCAAGGAAGGATGTTGCCAGCCTTCCCATATCACCAGAGGGGGTTTGGGGACAAGGGGAGGGAGGTCACAGCAATGACTTTGTCTGCACTTGGTGCGAGCTTTCTCCCAATGCTCTCGGCAGCAGCTGCTCTGCGAAACCAGCTGTAATCTGAGGGGAGGGAAGCCAGAGCTGTTCTGGCGACACAGCTCAAATGTAAGCACAAGGGACAAGAGGAGAAGTACAGGAAATGATTAGCCAGGGAGGGAAACCTCCGCGTACGTGGGAAGGCAGGCAAGATCTCACGCACAGCCCCGACCCGAGGCCTGGGAGCAGCCGGGACGCTGCATGGCGAGCCCAAGCGCTCAGCCTTGCACTGCGCAGCCCCAGGCCCAGAGCCCTCCGCTTGCTCACAGCAGGAGTAAAACCTGGAGAAGCAGAAGAGCCCTGCAGGGACTATTCCCATGGCCCTGAATAATCCGCGTCGCACAGAGTGACTCCAAGGCAGGTGGAAGGGTGGGAACAGGGAGAAAATCACCGGAGAGCACCTGAAAGAACAGGAGACCTGTGGGCCCGGCTGGAAGATCATTCCTCTTGCTTCGTCGTGGATGCAGGAGGAACACCAAAAGACAAAGACTGCCCTCATGACAGGGTCATCTATTGCAGAGGAGAAATCCCTCGAGGTGGTGGGGCTACCTGCAGGTCCTCAGTGCCTACAAGGGTCTCAGAGCTCCCCACGGCTAGCAAGGAACCCATCCTTCACCCACCCCAAACACTTGCTATTAAAACCCTTTGCCAGCCTGCACAATGGTTCCTCCTTGGGTTACAAAGGAGAAAATGCAGAAATGAGCAAAGCCAGAAATCAGCCTTCAACCTTTGGGATCAACGCTCCCCTCTGGAGGGTCTGACTCAGCCCCCGCAGAGCTGCCATCCTGCACGCTTGGGCATCGTGGCGATGGCTGCGGGAGGAACAGTGCTGGAGAGAGGAGAGGTGAGGGAGAGCAAAGGGAGGCACGCCACGCCAGCACGCGTTTAAGGCTTCCTCAGGGCCAGGCCAACAGCAGGGGAAGGCAAGTGCCACAGCCCATCCTGCTCCTGAGGCTGGGCAAAGGGCTGGCTGCCGGCCCCCAGCTTCGGCGCCGCGCCTGAGAGCCTGCCCTGCCCTGGCACGAGGCCCACTCGGTATTTTTATCCCAGGCATCCGTGTTGTTTGAAGCTGTCCGCTTTTTTCCACAGCCCTCCCCAGTCCCACCCTGGCTTAGAAGTGACAGCAATAGCAACGTACCCTCTGCTGCTATGACCTGAGCCCTGAAGGCATCAGCTGCCCCAAGAAGGGCCTCAGTAAGGGGTCCCAGCAACTCCGACGATACCCCCAGGCATCCTCCCAACGCCCCCAGAGGAAAGGTGAGCACCCACAACAGGGCAGAGCTGCACTGAACAGGACAGCACACTGCAGGGATCCCTGGGCTAGCAGAGACCCAAGCCAGCAAGTCCCCAGGACGTGTGAGCACCTCACATGGGCAGCAGCTCATTAGCCAGGGATGACGGGCATAAGGCCAACCTCCCAAGGACACCTCTGACAGCGAGAGAGGTGAGCAGCCCAGGCCACGCTTGTCAGAGACCCCTGTTCTGGAGAGCGCAGGCAGAGCTGCTCCAGCCATCTCCCTCCTGCGATGTCCCTGCCTTTCCAGCCCTGCCGGGGTAACACGCACCCTCTCAGGCGGGCTGCCCAGGCAGGGACGTCTGAAGGACTCAAGGAAGGATCTCAGGTCAGGATAGGTAAAAGTGATAGTTTTTAAACTTTGGGATCTCCCCATCTTTATTCCACAGCTGCCAGCTGCCCAAAGGCGGGGAGAGCATAATTCCTAATACAGCTTCTCAGGCCATTTGTTTTGCGGTCAGAACAGTAAATCTACCCTGGGGCACAAAACAAGTCGAGCCTTGTGGGAAGTCTCATTTCTTAAAAAGAGGGATTTTAAAATGATGATTCAGGCTTGGTACCTCCTCTCACCCTCCTCCCCAACTAGCGACAAGGCCAAAACTCACCCTTGTGCAGAAATCAGATTCAAAGTTCAGCTAATTTGTGTGGGCTAGTGACAGCCTCATTCCCCTTCTAGGGAGGGTGACAAAGGCAATTCAATTCCCTTTGCAGAGCTGTCACTGCAGAGCCCTGGACTAGGACTGAATCCAGCTCCTGAAGCCCAAGGGGAGCTCAGAGAAGGATCCTGGAGGAACAACCACCCAGGTGGGGGTTGGCCCAGGAAGCATTTGGTGACAGAAGTACCAGGTATTGCTTGGCCTGGGAGGACTGGTGCGTAGACAAAGGAGCTGGCTTGACTCAAATGGGCTGGAGCAGTTTCTCAGCAGGCTGAAGGCAGCGAGTTGCTCTCTACCTTCAGTCCTTTGCTGGCCAGGAAGGCGTCCTGCTTGGGCTCACGACCCAGAAACTTCCTCAACATGTCGGAAGCATCCATGGAGCCGCCAGGATGCAGGATGCAATTCCTGTAATCCATGCCCACCTGCAGGGAGAGATAGATAGGGGTGCGTGTAGGACACCCACCCCACCGCTGACCTCGCTCAGCAGCGACCCTGCCCCTCAGCCATTTCCCACCATCCCCGTGCCCCTCACGGCACAGCTGCTCTCCCCAGGAAGGCAGCCCCTACCACGCGCAGGGCCAGGCCGCGCAGGACGTCCTCCCCTACCTTACAGTTCATGATCCCCTCCTGCTTGAAGCGTGTGTGGAACATATCCATGGAATACACTTCACTCCAGAGGTAGCCGTAGTACTGGGCATCATAGCCTCCAGCCAAGTGGCCAAACGTAGCTGGCATGTTTGTACCTTGGCAGCAAAGGAAGGACAGGGGTGTTAACTGAAAAGGCTGTTCAAAATGGGACTGCAGGGACCTCTCACAGCATGGAAAAATACCTCCATGCTGTAAATTTATCAGAGCAGGCACTGGATCAGATAGTTCACAATCACAAGGGAAACAGGAAAGAACCTTCCAGTCATTTTTGTATAGATTCAGCCCTGCTTTTCCTGGAGCCAGCAGAAACAGTGAAAAACAGAAACAGTGCTTTTCTCACCCTACTGAGCCAGGCAGGGCCTCAAGCCCCAGACTTGAAAGGAACCTGCTGAGCCAAGCTTGCCAGGCCAAGCCCTAAAAACCAGCAGGACTAGGACCCCCCCATCCCCCAACGTCCCTGGGTACCTGGGGTGGCAGGAACACCCAGCACTTCTTCACACAGCCGGGCAAACACCTCCACTGGGTCAGCTTTCGTCTGGGTGTGCAGCGCCTGGTCCACCTTGGCCAGGACGATCTGACGCAAGTTGAACAGCCCTGTTCCCAGAAGGAGGAGGCAAATTGAGATCCTGCCTGAAAGCAGGAGTGTCTCCAAGGCCGGGTTACAGCAAGGCAGGCCTGAGGGCTCTGAAAGTTCTCCTCACACCCAACTTCTGCTCTGCTTCCCAGACCACGCCAGCTCAGCGGCACCTGCCCAGACCTGCAGATACAGGCCTGTGTCCCCCAGGGGCCCCTTCTGACTGTGCCGCTTCGCCCAGCCTGCTGCAGCTCCTGCCTTTGCCACTCCATCCTCGCTCTTCCCAGACTGCTGATTAACAGCAAGCAGATGCAGTTCTTTCCCCCGATCCTCCTAGTCCCCACAGCACTGCAGGGGCAAGACAAAGCCTTTCCTTTGACCATCCTCTTCCCATCAGGTCACCAAGGGTCCCCTGCCCCTCCCTACACACAAAGGGATATTGCAGCAAGGCACTGCACTCCCTGGGGATGGTGCACAACCCTTGCTCCCCTCCAGCCTCTCTTTGCTGGCTTCCACTTCCCTCCACAGGGACCCACCTGTGTTTGCCTGCCTAGATTTAATGAGCTTCTCCAGCAGCTCGTCAGGGATGGGGTTTCCAGTTTTGTAGTGCCTGGACATGCGCAGCAGCGGCTCCTTCTCCCACACCCAGTTCTCCAGCATCTGGGATGGTGCCTCGACAAAGTCCCGCTCCACGTGTGTCCCGCTAAACATGGCAAACTCCGCCTAGGAGACACATCCAGACTGTCAAAACAGCCAGCTCAGAGCTGGGCATCATTTACCCCTGCTGTGGAGTATGACAAGGGAAAGATAACAAACCCCATCAGAGCAGACCCAGCCACTGACTACAGGCTGACAGGATTAGCCCTGAAACAAGTGTTTGGGATCTGGATAACAAAGTTCCCTGGTTCATAAATAACGAGATGCTTCCAGCCCTTGGGAGGTGATGTGGACCAAGGTGCTGTGCTGTTTGGCACCGGATGGGAAAAAAAAGGGTGTCAGCAGTCAGGAGACAGGCTGGTGTCCAATACTGGTCTTATTTGGTACCTAGCCCTGGCCAAGGCTCTAGGATCTATGGCCAGGACAGACAGCTACACTTCCCAGCCCTGATTCACATCTCTGCCAGCCCAGCCAGGCCTCACCTGCGAGCACAGTTGGTGCATGACATGCCCAAATTCATGGAAGTACGTCTCCACCTCGTCGTGCTGCAGCAGGGAAGGCGCATCCGGTGTGGGCTTGGTGAAGTTGGCCACCATGGCAGCCACCGAGATCTGCCGGCTGGAGTCTGGCAACAGGCAGCCTGGCTGCAGGCCAAAGCAGGCCGCGTGCCCATATTTCCCTTCCCTAGGTTAGGAAGAGGAAACCGTTAAGTGGATACTCCCATACAGCCAGCCATGAGCCACCACTCAGGGCTGTGAGGTCCCACACAGAACATAAGATCCCAGTGATGCTGCAATTCACGCAAGCCCAGAGCTCCTGAGATCGCCCTGCCTGAGTACACACCTCTCCTTCCACCCCAGCCACGCATCCGGGAGTAAGGCAGCCCCTTCTCTTCCCTGGACACACTGCAGGTTCTGCTCCCACTGCCCTAACCCTCCTCCTTCTCTTTGGCTTGCCCAAGGCCTCACCGCGGGTACAGGTCCAAGTAGAATTTGCCGATGGTCTCTCCGGAGGAGGCGTCCTTCACTGTGTAAAGCTGGACATCCTCGTGCCAGACCTGAGCTTTCTCCTCCAGATGGAAGGTGAGCCCCAGCAGCTCCTGGTATATAGCCAACAGGCCCTTGGTGACCACCTGCATGGGGAAGTACTCCTTCAGCAGGTTCTGATCCACGCTATACTTGGTCTCCTCCACCTGATTCATGTAGTAGCGCATGTCCCAGGCATTGATGCGGTTGTCAAACTCCAGGCCTCGCTTCTCGCACTCTTTCTTTTTCAGGTCCAGGATCACGGCCCGTTCCTTCTCCCCAAGGGGTTTCAGCTTCTGGGCCAGCTCATCTGGGAGAATCGAGGGAAGCAGAGTTAGTCCCCAGGGATGAGAGCAGCACATGCAGTCCAGTGCACACCCCTACCCTTTCCCTCCACAGCCAAGGGCCGTACCCAAGAAAGAGGCCACCGTTTTGCTGCTTTTAGCCATGTTCATCTCCAGCACAAAGTCAGCGTGTGTGTTGAAGCCCAGGAGACTAGCTTTCTGAGCCCGCAAGTCCACCAGCTCCTTGAGGATCAAGCAATTCTCCTGCAACACAGAGCCAGATGAAGAGCTCAGCATGAAGCGCTGTGCACAGGCAAGAAAGGAAGCACAAGCCCCAATGTGTAAAGAAGCACAGATCCTGGAAGAGATCCCTCCAATGCCTGATAAACTTTCAGAATCCTTCACTGGACCAGAGCCAGGGAACTCCTTTCCACACAGGCTGAGCAAAGCTCAGTCATCACAGCTTGCCCTAAGCCTTGATTTCTTCCCTAGCTTTACCAATTGTGATGACTTTGCATGCTGCAAGCCTCCATCTCCCCATGCCATCTCCCTCCTGCAGTGATCCGAGTGGGATGGACAGCTGCTGCAGACTGAGGATCATTGTCCTCAACACTAGCAGATCCACACATGGAAGAGTCCTGACTCAACATCCTGTCCAGCCTTGTCAGCAGGCAGCAAGGCCACCTACCTCTTTGCATCTGGAATTGAACATTTCCTCCACCTTCCTCCTTGTCTCAGGCACATAGCACTTCTTCAAGAGAGGGAAATAATGCGGGTATTTCAAGGTGACTTTCAGCTTGCCGTCCTCTGTCTTCTCCAGGGAGTTCAGGAAGTCCTCAGGGAGCCCCCCTGAGTAAAGGACAGACATGAGCGACAGAGGGCCCAGGCCTCTCTTCCAGATCAGGGAATGAGCACAGGAACAGGCTCTTGCCCTTCGAGCCAGAGGAATCTAAGCACTCGCAGCACATCAACCTTACAGGGTGTGGAAGGAGCAAGATCCCAGGGCTTAACTAATTCCTGCATAAAGGCTGAGCCATGGTACGTGCTCTTAGCCCTCTGACAGGAAGATTTAGACTGCCATTTTTAACTCTATGTACTGTCTACGTGGGACAGGCACACAGGGCTGGCGACCAAGGCTCAGCTGATGCACAGCTCTTCATCACTACTGGAACACCCTTGTTCACCTGCACCTGGGTGCAGAGAACAGCCCCAGGGTGGCCTTGCCAGGACTGAAGCAGGGAGGACTCAGCTTCAGTGTGAGTCAGGCCCTGAGACCCAAGAGACGTAAGCCTGAGCGCTCCATACCTAGTTCTTCCTTTGAGAAGGGCAAGTAGGTGGTGTCTTCGTTGAGGTTCTTGTTGAAGTCTATGCAAAGGACGCTCAGCTTTTTCTTAATAGCTTTGATTTTCTTTAAAATATAGATGAACAGAGCAAAGTCAGTCCAAAGGGGGAAGTCAAACAGCACCGCTCACCATCTCCAGCGAGCAGCTTGCCTACTGAGTTGCCCATTGGCTTGCAGTTGGCTTACAATCAAGCACAGCACTGCAGAATTAATTGCATGCAGGCGCTGAGTCCTCATCCTAGAACAGGCTCCCTTTGATCACACCTCATAGGAAAGCAGCCACCTCAGCAAGGTCCCAACCATCTCCTGCTAGCTCAGGAGCTGCAGGTGTTTAAGCAACGGCCTCTTCTACCCTTATTTCATTTCACCTTCAGTTTCAAGCTCCTTCACTGAGCCAGTGGCTCATGAGAAGAGAGGGTGCCTCTGAGCAGCTCAGCCAAGCCCAGTCCAGTCTGCTCACCCCATCCCAGCTTCAGTAGGGCACCCTCTGTGACTGCCCTTTTGCTTGTGGGGTCAGAGTCCTGTTTCCACTTCCAACCCACACAGCCCTGTCTGGGGTCTCAGCTTCTCAAGAGCCCCCAACTCCAAACATCATCCCCATTCAACAGAAGGGACAAAGAAGGGAAGAGAGGTGTCACCCAACTTGCCCAGGGTCACATGAATCAGGAAGAAAATTTAGGAGTCTGAGCCTCAGGCCTCTGCTCGAACCACTAGACTGTCCCGCTAGCCCTGCAAGGCCTCCTCTACAGGTGCTTATTTTAAGCTTTTTGGTCTCACCTCCTGCGTTTCCTCAGGGAGATGAAGACCGTTTCTTTTACCCAATTTGATCAGCCTCTCTAGATATCTCTTTGCTTCAGGTTTCAGTGAAGCACTCTCTGATTTCTCCTGTAAAACAAAATCCGTGAACACAGGGAATCAAAGGAACAGGTATTCACTCAGCTGCTGTATCTGCTCCTGGAGGAAGGCTGTGGGTTATTGTAATAATGGTAACCCAGAAGCAGGTGGAAACACCCCACGAGAAGGCTTCGGTTTAATGTGTTAGTTCCTATCAGGAATCTGCTTTAAACATCTCACCTCTATGCCGTGTCAGAGCACTTTTCAGGGCATTACCCAGCCCTTCCCTGAAGGAGGCAGGTCAGGGTTACTAATGCCATTTTACTAAAGAGGTGATCAAGGCCCTGAGGGAGGTCAGAACCTTCAAATCCCAATTGCCCAGTTCTCACTCTAACAATTGGACCATACTGCCTACAGAGTTCATTTAATACCATTCAATTCTAAGTTCTGGGACAAGAGAAAAGGGTTTCTTGTAATTCCAAGAGGTTTCTGTTCTGTGCTCAGATGCTGAGCCTTTTTCACACCCAGTCGGACACCGAGCATCCTCCCAAGCACATACCTGGAGCCAGACAATCCGCTGGTACACATCCTGCCTCATGCTCATCTCCACGTCGAACTCTGAGAGCTTCTTGTCAGCCTCGGTGCTTGCTGCACGGATGTCTTTACAAGGAGACACGTGCTGGGGGAAGTCCAGCATGTTCCTACGGACTGAAAAGACCGTGGGTTACGGCAAAGGCAACAGCTTTGTGTCCCACAACCGCTCAGGAGTGGGAGCACACGTGGAGAGTCCGTGTTAGTTGGGAGGCAGCCTGATAGCCCTGGAGCCTGATCTACAGCCTGCACAAAGGGAGAGCAAGGCAAACTGCTGCCAACAGACAGACCCAGAGGTGTCACCCCTAGGGCAGCATCCAGTCACCCACAGCACCCCTTCATTCCTTGCTTGCTGCTGAGCCTACTGACCAGATCTGTCCACTGCTTTCCCACTACAATCTCTCTCACAAAACTTGCAGGAATTTCAAGCTTGTGAGATCTCAACTCTTTTGGCAGCTATAGCCGATACCAACAGTTTGAAGAGTCTCACAAAGGGAACAGATGTCTATACTTGCAGACGCAGGCAGCGTCGTTGCCTGTCTCCTTCCCTCAGGAAACCAGGCTAAAAGTGACACAACTTCAGTGCAGATGCTTCTCAAAAGCTACCACGTACGCAGTCTGCTCTTTCCCGACTTATTTTCAAACTTATTTCCATTTTAGAAGTGAATATAGGGAGAATATTTCCTGCCACTGTCTTTGCAAAATCTCAAACCACAGTCCAGCAGGAAAATACTGCTCTCCAGGCAAGCGGATTCCCCACCCAGCAGAAGGTGAGCACACAGCTACTCTCTGCTGCCCACAGAAAGTGCTGACAGTTCTGCTGAAGTTAACATTATCCTGCTTAGCAAGTGCCTTATTTTTTTTTTTTTTTAAGAGAAAAGAAACCAGATAGAAGAAAAAGGAAGCTTGCACACTTGCTTCTATTCTAGACAGATGTAATCACCTCGCAATACAGAGTTAGAAGAGCCAATAGATGTCATGAGGCAGGCGGGGGGTGGGGGTTGCATGACTTTGGCACTCTAGTGCTGTAAATAATTAGCCTGAGATATATTGAAGCCTGCATTATTTGCCAGCATGATGCCATCACATCATGTTACTTTACACCTAATCTCTAAAACTAGTACACTGTTTAAATAGACGAGATAGAGATACCTTTATCCATGCAGAGAAGAAAAAGAGCTGAAGAGTTCTTATATCACCCAAACCGTGTCTGCCAATGCACAATTTACTCCTGCTAAAGGCACCTTGGCATAAAAAAGTATGAGACAACCTTGAAAACCTTGTTACTCTTTCCAGAGACCACCCCATTGCCAAAGCAATAGCACTGCCAAAGCTCTGTCCTCATGTTCTACTTACACTTCTGTTCCAAAACTACTCCTTTCTTTGTGTTTGTATCTAGCTCTACAAATATTAACTGGAAAAAAAAAAACATAGTGCTGAGGGAGCCAAAGGAAAAAAAAAAAAAGGAGATGACAGTACAGAGCAGAGAAGCAGAGACAAAAAAAAAAAAATTCATAACCTGTAGACTTCCAGAAAGCAAGTACTCCCTCTGTGTCTACCTACCTGTATATTCCACTTCCACATCAGCCAGCGCCTTGAGAGTATTTTCGTAGGACACTTCTCCCTGTTCCTGGGAGCCCACCCGGTCATACACAAGCTTGGTCCTCTCTGTGAGCTCCACAGCCATGTTTTCTATCTGTTCGGCGGTCAGGTCCCATCTTAGCTGATTTGCTAATAGCCTGGGGGACTGGCTGTCCACAACGTTACCTGGGTAAGTAGGAAGGAAACCCATGCATGAAGAGTTACATGTCCCTCCCTTACATGAGCTGGAAGGAAAATTCAGGTGCATATCTAAAGCTCGATAAGAAAAGCACTTAAAGGAGAGGCCCAGCAAATGAACTATGCGTACGGGCAAACGGGCTCCTGAGGGACCCGAGTGCTGGATCCAAACGGCAGCCGGATTATTTTCCAGGCGCTGTTTACCCTCTCGTTTATGACAAGCCCTTCACAGAAACCCGACTCCCTCCCTGCTCCCCCACCCGTTGCGCCTCTGGCAGGTGCATCTGGCCACAGAAGCAAGGGTGGCTGTCACAGCCCGGGCACAAGCCTCGGGCTCTGCTTGGGAAGGGGGCTACGCAGGAGAGAGGTGACAGCTGGGGCCGGGGGAAGACCACAGCCCCCTCGCAAAGCTGTTGTGGGGCTCCTTCCCTCTTGCTCCCTATGCAATCACTGTCCCCCTTGTCCCCTGCCCCACATGCAAGCCCTCAGCAATCCTCTGCTATTCCAACCCCTTGTTCTTGTCCCAGGCCTCTCATCCCGGCCCTCCCCGCTGT